CTTAACTTAGAGAATAGAGACAAAGTATGAATCCTAACACGTGAGTATTGATCTGATATCACTATCAGTGTTGGTATCTATCACTATTTGGATCAATCCACCCACCTCTACAGGACACAGAACAACACCAAGATGGTTACACTGAAAACACTCGAGTCTTCATCATAAGCTTTTATTCTCTTTATGGAAAAATACAACGAACACTTGGAATGCTGGAAAACCGACTATGATGAGTTCAAAGACAATCCGGCAAATAGAAAGAGCTACACGGGTCGTAGGTGGCTAATTGGAAACAGGTGATAATTACAAAAGAAGTAAAACTGAAAACATGGTAAAGAGGCCAGGAAGTGCAAAATAAAACAGGACGTGACCTTAACCTTTATATGAATCCTAAATTATGACACATATGATGTTTTGGATTTAAGTGAACGACCAAAGAAAAAATCCTTCACATATTAGGTAATTTTTAGATATAAAGACCTGTGTCAGTTTTATGTTTTCAAATCCTGAGACCTTCTATTACAGAAAAAAGTTTAGATACTGTCGTGAAGGTGCGTTTTTCATCCAAACCACAGTGTTTTCCAACATGTAACACAAACCAAGTAGTGTAAGTGCCTAAACCTAACCAGGTAATAGACAGAAGAGTATAAACCAAATACATGTTTTACACTTAGTGATGGAAAAAATCAATGCAAAACACATAAGAAATAAAGAAAACCACTTTCTCTATGGTTATAAAACCAACAATGCATCCCATCGCCACCACTTTTCCAACCTTTTGCTGACTTTTTGGTCTCTAATCTGGGATAAAAGCGTTTTCCAGCCTGTGCATGACATACAGGGAAACCAACATTGAGGCAACATTAGCGTTTGTCTGATGATGTTGAACCTTAGCGATGATCTTGTTGTTCTCTCCTCAGCCTCAAACATCTTGTTGGGTGATGGTCTGGTGCTCCTCAGTGCTTCGCTGTATGCGGTGTCTAACGTGTGTCAGGAGTACACCGTGAAGAACCTGAGCAGGGTGGAGTTCCTGGGCATGGTTGGCCTTTTCGGCACAATCATCAGCACCATACAGATGTAAGTGTGTGTGACTGGCATCAGTTTTAGGACTCAGTGGACTTTGTGGCTTATCTGGTGTTTCTGTTTTTATTCTTACTCAGGGTGATCCTGGAGCGTAATGAAATTCCTGCCATCCAGTGGAGCTGGGAAGTCGGTGAGTACTGATCTAACTCAGGAACATTCTGAAGACAAAACAGGACTGCCGAAGCCTCCAGATGGTTACGCATGTTAACACATTATGAAACTATAAATATTTAAAGGTGCTATGGTACAGTCAACACAAATATCCCTTAGTGGATACTCTTTGGGACCTGAATAAACACAATATGTGTCAGAATAACTAATGCTTTAAACTATGAGAACATAAGGTTATGCACACTGAGATTTTCACAGTGAAAAAAAATAACAAACTTTATTAATAAAAGCCAGAAGAAAAGAACAAAGCTGGTAGGAAAACCAATGTGTCACAACCAACTAATGCGACAAAACTAACTTAAAAAAATAATTCAAAACATAAAGGCACAGAACAGGAGACACTAGGTCAATAATTCTTCAAGGAGGGCAAAAAGTAACAAAAAAAGAGAAGAAATGAGAAGAAAATTAGACTACAGGCAACTAAAATCTGATGTTTACAGCAGGGACCATGACAAAGGGGCAGAAATAATCTAACCCAAATTCACAGAAACACAGTTCTTGTCTCGTTTGTCACATTTTCTCAGTGAAAGTTTGAAAAAACCTTTTCTAAAAGGTTCTGTGAATTTTAAAAGACCCAAAACAGGGCATCACAGTCGGTCTGTTTCAGAGGGAAGAAAATACACAACCTGTTTGCCAAAATTCAGTTTTTAACAAATCTTTAAAGTTATGTAGCCTGGCACAAAGACACAGCATCACCCCTCATATTCCTTATTTCAGTAACTTATCTTTGAGTGTATAAAGATGACTAATTTAGAGGTTTTATTAGACACTTTTGATCACCATGTTGAAGAAGTCGACCTGAGAAATAAAGTGATTTTTTTCTTTCATGTTTGAGTTTTCTTTAATACTTAAATGAACTAACAGTGGTCATGTCTCTTCTCAGGACTGCTGTTCGCTGCCTATGCACTGTGTATGTATGCTCTGTACAGCTTCATGCCTATAGTGATAAAGCTAAGCAGCGCCACCTCCGTCAACCTCTCCCTGCTCACCGCTGACCTCTTCGGCCTCTTCTGTGGGATCTTCCTCTTCCACTACAACGTGAGTGCACACTCGGTTATTCTTGATTTATATATCTGACAGTCCTTTCCTTCAAACTCGCCTCAAGAGGAAACTTGACCTGCACTTTAACACCCTCCCCACTGTTGGACTGTAAAAAACAATTTTAATCTTAGTAAAAAGCATCACATCGTCTGTCAATGTGTTGATCCTACAAGGTCATGACTACGGGATCTATCCAGTGTATTCCAGTATGTGATTCCTTCTCATTAGAGGGAATAATTTCACAATTTATGTTATTGGAAAAAGCCCACCATCAGCAGGAGCTGAAGTTTTATCAGTTTAATCAGTCTTCAAGTCTTCCCTCTGAACATCCAGCACCAGCATCATGCAACAGGAGGACTGATTATGATCTTTACCTTTACCCTAAGTTATGCATTTTTCCTACCATGGAAGACAGGCTCTGACAAGACTTAACTGCACATGATGTGGATACTTTCTGTCAGCAGCACAGACACTGAGAAAACACAATGAACGGCAATCAGTCAACTCTGGGTAAGGTATGTAGGTGTATGAACAGAGGCTTAGAACATTCAAATAAGAAAACACAACATTTTCTGTAGTTTCTGGATTAAACAACATGTTTCACTGAAATGGTATGCAACCAACAGGGGCTAAAAAAATGAAGCCAAAACAAAGTGAAACGACTGTAGTTCCTCTCACAGCCATTTAAGGCTCACTGAAACATCAAGTTGTTACTTTGTTGCTAGTTTGCCACATTCTCTTTTGAGATGATGCTTGAATTCTGCTTCTGCAGTGAATCCAATTAGGAGTCTAGAACAGCGGTCCCCAACCCCCGGGCCTCGGACCGGTACCGGTCCGCGAGAGTTGAGGCTCAGGTGTGAAATGTATAGTTTTCAGGGTTTTTATCGGTTTT